TGTGTGCAAAGCACTCTACAACTTATCCTAATTGTCATCGTACACTACAGAAAAGTCTCTAATAGTTTTCTCCATTAAAAATTGTTGAAGTTAATTTTCCACAAACCACCTTCAAATTCATTTGTAATTTTGTAAAATTTTCTCAAAAACGTTGGATCTGTGCCTTGACGTCTAAACTCTCATGTTTTGCAATGATTTAACAGTAAATCTGCCATCCAGTGCATGAACAAAACTGAATGACTTCCCTCTTGAGGCATAGTAGGACTGACTCTTTAGGTCTAATTTCAAGTTATGCTCTTTGTATACTCTTATCTAGTGAGTGAATTTGGCAGCCAAAAAACATGCTACTTCAACATTTGCACACATTTGACTTCACTACTTGTTGAATAAAAACCATATTGGAAGCATCTTATTTTTACAGTAAACTTGGCGCCTGTATCGTTTACCGTTTACTTTCCGATACAACTTATTAGCTTTGCCTTCACTTTAAAGAATGCTAGCATGCATATCTGGGAAACTTCACTATTTTTTCTTCCCTGAGCTTTGATGCCTAGCTTTGCCATGGCCGAGCTGCACCGCACTCTTCGCTGCACGGCCAAGCGCATTGGAGAGCCAAAGAGTGCTCGTAGTGAAGTAGCTGCTATTGCTAATAGTAGATCCCACACTGCCAACAGTCTGTTCTGCTGAAAGCATGGCTGTGCTTGCTTGTTTCGCCAATGTTTTACCGATACCAGTCACCTTATCAGTCACTTTATCACTTACCTTGCTCAGAATTTCATGCCCTCGGCGTGTTGCTACTTTTGTTGTTGTTCCCTGCATTATATAAATAGGATTTGAGCATGAATTGTTAATCTAAGTCTCTTACAACAGTAGCAATAAGTATGACAAGCAAGTCTTTTTTTCCAATTTTTGCATGTGCTTGTTGTTAAAGTATTTACCTCCTCCATTAAGTATTTACCTACAATTTTTTACCACTAACACATCCTTCTTACCAAGGCCTACAATGTAGCTGCGAATTAATACTCTTTATTCATGTTTTCTTGGTGAATTTTAATTCTAAATGATATAATAAAGTACGACCTAGGTTTTGTATGCGAGAGGGCCTTTCAGTTATGTTTTTTTGGTAAAAATAAACCAGATATACTGGATACTAAAAACAATTTTTTAAAGCTGCGAATACTAGCACCAACAGTAGGAAATGTTCATAATGGAAGGCCTACTACATATAAGATACAACTAGAGAATGATAACAAAATTGTATTTCACACAAGCGCCAAAGCTATTTGGTATAACGACATAAGTAAACAGATTGCGTAACTGGCACAATGATTGGAACTTTAACAGAAAGATGAGAAGAAATTGATATATTGATGTTTGCTCTTTTTCATTTTTCAATTATGTTAAACAAAGTGAAAGGGGAAAACCTTGCCTGGGTCTGCTCTCTCTCCGAAAAGCAAAAAATAATTGGGACAATATCCTTCTCCAAGGGCGATATGCAAACTCGTCGATCTATTAGTATAGCATCCTGCAAATAAAGCAAGTAAAAGAACTTGGTTTAATGTTCAACCAAGTGAAAAATAGTCTTACGACTGTTTGGTGATGTGCAGTAACCCCTGAAAAAACATCATGGAGATGGGGGGAAATCAGGGATCTAGATAGAAGTATATCAAACTAGAAAAGGTTTACTGCCGAACATTTTACTGTGCCATTTTCTTTAGCAAAAGGACAAATTTTCGTTTTAGACCCTTTTAGGAATTTATTTCCAAAAATCGACTACTTTCGGATTTATTTGCAAATTTCGACCCAGTTTCAGCCAGGTGGCTGAAACTGGGTCTAAATTTACGACTAAAGTTGAAAAACTTCACAGGATTTAAAATCCCGTGAAGTTATGTCCTTAATTAATTAGCGCTAACCAAAAAGCTTGGCTCAGGCGATAAACTGCTACTAAACTTCACGGGATTTTAAACCCCGTAAAGTTTATATTAAACAAATTACATAAAGTAGTTATGTGCAATGGGTTTAGTGGTTATAGCATTAGCTTATAAGACTTGGATGGGAAGCACATGGTTCGAATCCTAGCCTTGTAAATTTTTTTAAATGTTCAAGGAAAAAAATATGTTGGGATAAGATTCGAACTCAAGACCAATTGAATGATTGAAGTTTAGCTTTCTTTGAGCTAACCACTTGCCCAACTATGGCGACCATGTTATATTGAACTCCTCGGGATTTAAAATCCCGTAGAGTTAGGCTAATCTAAACTTCACGGGATTTAGAATCACATGAAGTTTAATTAAGGACTAAACTTCATGGGATTCTAAATCCCGTGAAGTTTATCAACTTTATACGCAAATTTCGACCCAGTTTCAGCCAAGTGGCTGGAACTGGATCGAAATTTGCAAATAAATCTAAAAGGGGTCGATTTTTGGAAATAAATTCCTAAAAGGGTCTAAAATGAAAATTTGTCCTTAGCAAAACTAGCACAAGAATTAAACATCCAGAAAAAGGATCCAAAATATCACAACTAAACAATACCAGTAACTAATTTCCACTTACATTCAATAGAAGAGCTGTCTTAAAGGCATAAGGCTGCTTGAAAGTCACGACCGCCAACTGTGACCCATCTCCATCCCTGCTGAGAACCAAAACAATCAAAACTACATCACCAATAAATACAATTTACATAGCTTGCAAAACTTGAGAGAACATGGAAAAGATATTCATGTTACCCTTGAAGCTGAATCTCATCAATATTACCGCAATATGAGAAGAAGGTTATCAAGTCTTCCTTCGTTGCTCTAGAAGAAATGTTATACACTTGAACGGTCAGATCCAAGGCACCCATGAAATGCAACACTCTTCCACCTTTATTTTTTGCTGAACATAACTTTCTGACAAACAGCATACTTAAAGGAGAAAATGCTGAGAATAAAACAAAGATGAGAGGGAATAAGAGCAGAGAAACAAGTAGAATAAAGAAGAAAGGAAAAAGGACATTCCACGGTTTGATGTGAGCATATTAGCAAGTGCTTTGGAGCTCGTATGTTCATCACCTGACTGCAAGAATATCTATATGAGACTTTCCAGGGTAAACATAAGGCAGCATAACTTATCAAATTAACAGCCAGGCTTTAGGACTGCAAAGTAAACAAGTGTAAGCATTCCAGTGTTAATTGTATAACATCAGGAAAGGATATATTCTTGGAAAACAACTAACAACAATCTTTAGACAATCAGATATCCAGAGATAACGACTGGATGCTTCCACTAACAAAACTCGATCTTGCTGCTTTTTTTTTGAAAGGATATGATATGTCAATGAACATTAATTTTAATACACAGATGGCAATTTCTGCAGTAAAGGATAACAATCAAGTCTAGATCAGTGTCACGAAAAAATCCCAAGAGAATGTTATCAAGAGAATAATAATTTACAACAACATTATAATTATATAAGAAAAAAAATTAGTCCTATACAATACATAAGGAGAGATGGTAATAATGAAAGAAAAGAGACCCATATCGTGAACAACTAATGAAATTTACTGTCCACAATACCCAATTGTTATGAAAGCAAAGATCTTGTTTCCCTTGAATCCATA